TTTAGGTTGAAATTTCATTGGAGTACTCACACGATGAGCGAGCGATATGCTTATTTCTTTTTTAACTCTGTAGCCTCAGAACTTGTGGTTATTAGACAGATGCTCCGTCCAATTACATTTGCCTCCCTTCTAAAGTGATTACAGTCTGGTGTTTTTCTGTCGGAGAATGCATTTAAAGTTTGTTTTACACGTATTTTCTGGCGAGACATGCTCGCTCTGCTTTCCGGTATCACACTCACTTAGCCTATGCGAATTGCGATTACACTTTATATTAACAATATAACATTAAATATTGTCAGGTTAATCTCATTCTCAAATTTGGATCTATACATCCACTCCCCCAAGGCCTTCATGTCGTGATGATTAATTAGTTGAGCACAGCGACAACTTTACCTTTTTAATCTTATTTTCATTTATATCGGTTTATATGAACGAGCCGGAATAGCTCAGTCGGTATAGCGACTGGCTACAGACTGGACGACCGATGGGTAGGAGTTCGAGTCCCCGTAGTGTCACGAATTTTCTGTTCTCCACGTCGTCCAGACCGGCTCTGGGGTTCACCCAACCTCCTATCCAATGGGTACCGGAGGATTTTCCTCCCGGGGTTAAAGCGACCGGGGTGCGAAGCTGAACACTCAGTTCCAACTAGTGCCGAGGTCAAGAAAATGTGGATCGATACATCCACTCCCCCATACGTCTTCACGGCTAAGTGCTTAATTAGTTAGGAACAGGGACAATTTTATCTTTACCTTCGTCTATTTATATGAAGCTTAAATAAAAGGTTGTCGGTTTCTGTGGAAACAGCTAATTGAAACATAATATAAAATATTGTTGCCGTTGAGAATTACAGGATCTAAATCATGCTCTTCTCGATAAGTTTATGTTAGACGAATTTCAAAGAAAAATAATTTCTGTCCATGTGCAGCACAGTAACTGCATTACAGTTAGCTTTACTTTATTGCACATATTTGCACTTAATTACCATCAAGGCCAATGCAAAACTGCAAATAGCGCATTTGGGGAATGTCAGTGCACGCTCCTTTTCGCTCTTGTAATACGCAGCAAAGCAGTATAACACGCCCGCAATATTTTCAAAGTCCATAAACTTAGATTTTATTATTTAGATTATGGTAAAGCTGAAGAAAGGTAGAGGCCTTGCGATGAGCTGATCACCCGCCCAAGGAGCCCTACCAAATGTGTAAGATCTAGAAAAACCGAAGTGAACGGAGAAGTTCATGGAGGTAGGCCTAGGCCCACTGGGGCTGTAGTGCCAAGGAAAAAATAAAAGTTGAAGAAAGCACTAGCTCTGAACATTTATCAGCTCACTCGATACAAAATGGTGCTGTCTTCTGCTTTCATCTGATCAACCAGCTCTCCAAAGGCCGTACTGGAAGCGCCACCTGCTTTTTTATTAGTTCATATCGTTTTAACTGCAATTTGTGTCATACTAATTATATATTGCTCTTGCTTAAAATGGTTACATTTTCTCCTTGTCGTTGCACGCACGCAGTACACTTGTACGCAGCAGACACACTTCCTCCTCCTCCTTCAATTTTGCGCGCCCCGCTCCCAGGGGGAGGGATGGTAAGGAGCTGATACAGTGCCCCACCCACGGCTGCGATGGCATGGGTCATGTCTCAGGAAACTACGCTACCCACAGAAGGCAAGCCACTTTGCAGTACTCACTACCTTGACATGATGGTGGTCAGACCCGTGTCCAGTAGCTTGGCTTGATCAGTGTGTTTCGGTTAGATTGTCCGTACAGCCCCTCGATTTTATTTCTATTGCATATGAATTCGTTAAATGTGTTATCTAATCATTTGACTTTTACTTTTAAATAATGCCCGCCATTTTATTTTATTTCCATGAAAGGAAATGTGTCCACTTTATTTTAGAAATCTCCTTGCCCCATTTCCAGTCGCCCGTATAATGCACGGATTAGTAGATCGTTGGCTTTTATGAATTGATTTTCATCTGATAGTTGAATCGTGTTGAACCTCCAGTCTTACTGGCAATTTGAAGCTCAGTGTTCGATCCTGTTTTATGTTCTCGATTTGTTTTATTGATTAGCATTAATTACTTCCAGTCCCAGAGCGCACTATACGGAAGGGAACGCATTCTTGTAGATTATATTTGGTTTAAATTCCACCATTTCAAAATTGCTTACTTTCAGCCAGAAGTGGGCAGCGTTTGTCTTGGGAATTGAAACTATGATTTCCCTTTATTACATGACAAGTTGACCATGTCTGAGCAGTGGATGTTATGAGGCAAATCAAATTCACTGGGGTCAGGTCCTTGCCTTCTCTTGCAACGAGTGCCAGTTTGTGTGTCCTCATACTTGCCTGGCTGTTGTGTACTCGATGTGCTTGCCCGTCGATGTCGTGTTCGTGGATGTCAACTTGCTATTTCCAGTGCCAATTGCTTCTGTCTATTGAGGACTCCGCAGGAAACATTAATGCAGTAAGTGATAACGACACTCTGAAATTTCCCTTTGTTTCTGCTGTTCTTTAAAAATCTTACAGTCATTTCTGGAAAACCTCTTTATTTTCAGTGTTTTATAATTACAGAATATGTGTTTGTACCTCTTTAAAACTTCTCAGAAAGTACGTAGACCTGTATGTCGCAGCATATCATTTACAGCAACATATGTTAACAATTCTGTACTTCCTTACAGAATTACTTTCAAATTTCAATGAGTAAATAGTAAAAGATGCGGGTCTTGATTAGAGAAACGTTATAAAATAGATGCCTGGCTGGCCCAAATCTAGTATTCCCAGCAATGCAGATAATGATACTCTAGTTTCGTGCGTGACGATACTGCACTAAGTAGTCGGAGAGTGCAGTCATGGAGTTGACCTCAGTAGAACGCATTTGGCACATCTGCATGTGAATGCTCTTACAGTTTCGTTGTGTCTGAATAGAACGAGCATGTATTTAACGCAAATTGTATATTAGGTCAGATGCAGACAGAATTCAACTACAGATAATAGAAATTAACTTCCAGCCGCCATGACTCTTCATTGCAAATTAAAACTATCAGCTTTACTTTCTATCCAATGACCCGTATGATGTTTAGAAGTACCAGAGGATCCTAGCTAATCCGACTAGTCATTCTATGCCCACCTTTAATTCATACTCTTAGTCAATACAGCATAAATATTTGAATTTATTAGACAAGCATGTTGTTAACGGAAATAGGCCTGTCTGGATGGGGGATGGATATAAATGGTTTTTAAAATGCGTTCTACACTCGCTAGCAACTGTGAACATAGTACAATTGAAATGTGTCTTACAATATAAAAATGGCGGTGGTCGTGAAGTATGACATATAAAGGTATCCATAATTTATTTCGGTGCTTTATTACCATATACAGGTTTCAGTTAGGAAATTTCTACATAGTTTGTGACCCAGTCTGCATCTAACTTATGTTACACTTCCAGTAGACTGTGATAACGAGAGCATGGCCCCTTCTTGTGGAAATGTCTGTATAGTGTCTTGAATTTATACATCCAGTATGTTGTAGCTGTTCCTATCCTTTGATTATATCGGTTCCCATAAGTTTATAAATGTAATTCTTATTTCAGTGACTTTCCATGTAAATACTGTAGTTTATTATGTTGAATCAATCGGTAATACTCCAAGTGTCAACATCGGCTGCTGTAGTGTTTGAAGTCAATGATAAAATAACAAGCAGAGTTAGGTATTCGGTAAGCAGAGATAACAAAATTTGCCAAATTTGTGTCACAGAGAAATGGATAAGCTGTCAATTTTTAAACGTAAGGTACTGTTCCGTGAAAATTGGTTTTACGTAAATCCCAATTTTCTTCTGTAATGATCAGCTGTAATGATACATGCATTCTACATATTTCTATACATCGCTATATTTTTTCTTTACCTACGGTACCCAGTCCGATTTAAGAGGAAAGAGGTATCACATCTCCGTTTGTTATGATTTACCAAAGAGCGTATTTTCATTCAGCTAATGCACAAAATATGCCAGTTGTTTGCCTTTTATACAACAGAACCTTCAGGAATTGAACTCTACAAATAAATGAAAGTGCTCTAATAAACAAAACTCTCTTCTCGCTCCATTTTGTTGCAGGTTAAGAAAACGGAGCGTATTAATTTAAATTGTATGAGATGTTTGACTCTTACATTTATTCCAGATTTAAACTTATTTATCCTCCTAATTGCATTGCATTAACAGAAACAATACTGGAACTATATTAACTTACTTATCGTAGTCCAATATGTATACTTTAGTTTGTAATACGTATTGTTAATTCATTTCGGTTGTTATACTCGAAACTGTAAGAAACGAAGGAAAATATTAGCCCAATAACATACTGAAAATTGGTTTCCTTCGATCAGGTTTAAATTCACATTACATGTTGTGATGTTTTGAAGTTGTAATTTGTCCTACCGACCACATGAGGGATTGCAGCTGAAATACAAAGAAAATATAAATGAGATGAAATATGCAATCACCTGTTGGTTTGAGACAAATTCAGCACGGTGGCTCAACAATGATTCTGCTTTTGAAAGGTCATAGTCCTTTGTCCTTACTGTTGTGAGTGCGATTACATTTATTTTCCCGAGTTACTCCATGGGAAAACGACAATTTATACCGTTTATATAGCAGAACCTCTTCCATTCTAATGTTAGCTTATATCTACTGAATATCAACTAGTCTCATCTAGAAAGAGTTCAAGTTCAGTTAATTTCATGAAAATAGTTTGTCTAAGAGACCTAGTACGGACGGCCTAATCCTCATGGACTGTAACGTGTTTGGTTTAATGAAGTATGAATGAGGGTCATCATTATACAGTTGGAGGGCGTACCGTCGATCGTGTAAAAAGCTGCAGGAGCCGTCTCTTCATAAAATAAAGCATGTCTACCAGACCAGATCTCAGCATGAAGAACACCCATTCACCTACCGTTTTCTGTACTGAGCGAGCCCATGACGCATGCTGATCCTGTCCGTTTGCAATATTCGCAGTCTGTCCGGGTGTCCGCGTGCTGACCGCACACAGATCCAGGCACACTCGCAGGAACTTAAGTGTCCGACGCCCGGATGTGATGGCTCGGGCCACGTCACTGGCAACTATTCGTCCCACCGCAGTTTGTCCGGCTGCCCTAGGGCCAACAAACCCAAGAGCAAACCCAGAGACGGGCAGGACTCCGAACCTCTCAGGTAAGTTGCTCCCTGTAATGTCGAATGATCGCTCGCCTTCAGACGCCATATCAGTACACAAATGATTTTTCATGTATGAGTTGTAACGATGTTATATTAATGTTATTATTCATAGTACATGTACATAAAAATATTTACAAATGAGATACGTTCCATACTGTCACAATTTAAAGGGGGGGGGGGTGCGTTACTTATAAACGGGCTTTGGATTGGATGTTTGGATTTATTGACACCTTATACATTTACACAACACGGAACTACAGGCACTACAGCGCTGTCGCTGATCTGCACACTTTACAGTTCACCGCTGCACACGTACTAGGGTTCTCAGTCTTCAATAGTCTATCCTGTCAACGATTTACAGCAGTTTCACTGTCACTTCAAATTAAACATGAAATCTTCTTTCCACACCCTACTTCCTTTCTTGCCATTATTCTGTGACTGTCAGTTCTGAAGGCTAGACTCACTTCTTATCCTGGCAGGCTGGCTACTCGAAACTCGACCAACTCTTCTCGACCGAATTCTTCTTTATAACAACTTTGCACGGATCAAGCAGAAAACACAGACTATCTATTGTTGGAAAGTCGTGTTTACAGCTCCGTTGCCTAGCAACGGAAGTTATTCGATTATTGCTTGCGTATTTGTTACCGCGGAATTTGTTTACTGAGCAGTTGCCTAACAATGGGCGTCTCCGCTGATTTCACTATTCCGGCTTTCGAATGCAATGTCACAATACATATAAACATACATAGGTCTACATAATGCATACATATATTACATTGACTTAAAGTTAGTAAAAAATGATGGAAGGATATAGAAGAAGCCATAGAAACATAAAACATATGTTGAGAGTACAGTTGAAGCTTTCACATTAAAAATGCACAGCTTCAAAAAAAAGTTACTCAAATGCTTCAAATAGATCCATAGATACACATTAATACTGTCCACATATGCCATATACACACACCTTTGAAAACATTATGACATATTTAGGTAATAAGAATTCATCAACACTGTAGATTGAGTTTGTATTGAACTATATTTTTAGAGCTACTTCACATTGTGACTTTTCATTCATGAGGTATTTGAGATTAGATGGTAGATTATCAAAGATTCTTATGCCAGTATAATCACTTTCTGAAGACACAAGAGATTGGCAGTTGGTTAATGAAGGTAACACTTGTTTCTTGTCGTAACACTGTGTACAGCTAAACTATTCCAAAAATGTTCTTGGTTCCCTAGAAGTCACTTTAATAAAAAATTCAGTAAAATAAAATAAATATATATTTTTGCAGCATAACTTTTGTGTTCCTTTGTGTTCTCTTTTAAAGATCTATTCACTCATTAAAAATTCATGTTTTTAATTCTAAAGGCAAGTTTATATTTGTATTTGTATTTTATAACTGAAACATTCTCAGTGGAAATGGTGGTTATTGATTGCAATTGCCTATTTTGAACCATAGCTGTATTGCTGAAAAGTAATGAGGAACTTAGCTTCCTACAGTAAGGAAAAACCTGTTCATGTAAGTGTTGTGATGTGAACAGGTTCCATACATACGAATCACAGTACACAAGGGATGAAAACATGATGGCCATGGATTGTTAGAACATTTTTAACAGATGTAAGATTTGAGGCTTTCACGGCGGTGACTATGAAGAATGCAGTCTTCTGGGACACGGTGCCAAATCCCAGAAGACTGCATTCTTCATTTTTAACAGAACTGATAATTCTCATGTAGGAGAAATGTGTGTAACACTAGCAGGAACGGCCACAGAATGATGTGAAAGTATTAACTCACTCCCCAGGGCTCAAGGAAATTTATTAAAAGACAAGGTGTTCTTCATAATTCTATTGTAAAACGAAATAATCAACCAAAGTCTTTTTCAGTTATAAACAAAATTTTGTTTCAGAATTCCCATACATTTCAGTAATAAATTTTGGTTTATATAATGCATTGATGACCCCCTCTGTGGTCTAGTGGTCAGAGTTCCTGGCTACAAATCCAGAGGTCCCGGGTTCGATTCCCAGGGCTACCAGATTTTATGAGAAATAGTGGGTCTGGAACGGGGTCCACTCAGCCTCGTGAGCTTAATTGAGGAGCTATTTTAAGGAAATAGCGGCTCCGATCTAGGAAACCGGAATTAACGGCCATGGGGATTTTTTGCGCTAACCACGCAGCAACCTCTATCTGCTATAGTTGGCACTAACTTCGCCAACAAGCAGCAGTCACTCAGTCAGTATAGTTCGCTGGTGGAATCAAGCCACAGTGTTTAGTTTTTTAGTTTATAATGCATTGATATTTATAGTCTAAAAAGATTAACAATATCATATAGTCCAATATAGCATCTAAGAAAACTTTCCATTAGAATTTCAACTAGGCTGGATTAAGTGATTCAGGAAAGGTTTTAATAGCAGGTTTCTGTGAACATGACAACGCACCTTAGGAGTTCGGTAAAAGCACGGTATTTCATAACCGGCTAAGCAGCTATCAACTATTCAAGGAGGTGTTTGTATCATTAAATTAGTTGTGTGCACATAAAGATATGTGTTTGAAACCAAGTGTTCTGAAAACAATGTCTGCTGACAGAACGTTATAAATTTCCCTTTTTACACTATTTAGGCAGTCGATTCATCTCTTTACATTTAAGTTCACAGAATAAACACAACATGACTTATATTAACCATGCGTTACACTGTATTACCCCTTTGAAAAACGATATGCCAAGATAAAACTTTATAATGATTTGTTGACACTGTGTGTGAAATGTTTCATCTATTAACTGCAATACTCTGGAATTTATGGAACTACAACTTTTAGTAATAAAATGAGTGGTGAAAATATTCTTTCCTGTTAACATTTGTGGAAACTTTTGGGGTTTTAGTCCCTGATATCCTAACACCATTGGTACATTGTATGAAGGGTTGAGTCTCACTTGGGCATAGATGATATTAGGCTTCTTCCCATGTTGCATTGTGTTGTCTTCTAATAAGCCGAACAAAATCCAGGGAGTTCTGTCAAATTTCTAATAGATGTATTGGCTCAGATTACATTTGAATACTCAGGTCAGAACACCTGAACATAGTAGGTAGATTACAATTCTAAGCTGCTAAAATGAAATTATCTTTAATATTAGCAGTGCATACACAAGACAGACTTGGCAGTTTGGCATTTTTTTGGAGCGGGGAAAATTAAATCTTGTTGGGTAAATGTAAAATTTTCTGAAGGCATGTAGCTCAATTACGCAGCTGTAACCGAAGCATATCCAAACTTTTTTCTCAAAGTAGACTATTTAAATATTTTGCCCCATTTTGACAGTCAGTAAAGAAAATTTTGGATGTTCAGATGAATCCAAATCCACTTGTGTGGATTCAGGCAGCACTGGGATTTCATGAATTGAAGGGAGAGTAGCAAATAAATTGCCTGAAAGTGTTAGGTGCCAAGAGGAGAGCACTGCATATCTTTCACAGTGAGAGCTGCTAGCATCAGTGGGTCTACATTTACAGATCAGCATCCTATGAAATTTAGCACTGTGTTGTCAGCTGCCAGATTTATTGTCTGGGAAAAGAATTATTGGTATGGGTGAATGATTGTGAGAACAGAATGAATGACAAAGGAAACTGAAAAATCCACCCCCTTAGAAGATACTATACCCGTGAACCATGTGATATGAAATAAAGAGTGCTTGGACGTAAATATCCACATTGTTATATCTGAACAACAGTCAGATGTGACTGTTTAACTTCACACTCGTCTCCCACCCAAACACAAATCTTTGCCACTAGTTGGGTGGACTGCATGGAAATTGAGACATACCTGCAAAGATAATAGTCCCTTCCATTGCTGGAGCTTGAAGCTCAGTCATGTAAACTGTAGCCAGAGTCTTAACTGACATCCTCCCTCTGCACTGACATTATCATGCTTCAGCAAATGTTTCTAATTTTCTAGTACCTTGTTAAACAACTTCAGTAAAATTTGAGGCTTTCACGCCGGTGACTATGAAGAAAGCAGTCTTCTAGGATTTGGCACCGTGTATATGTGGTGCTTTTACCGGTTCTCACGGTCTCTTCGCTTGCGGATTTCTTATATTTTTCCTTCTACCCTGAAGATGGAGATGATACGTTCCTCCAAAACGTCGGTTAACACCACATATACGAAATATGCCAAATCCCAGAAGACTGCTTTCTTCAACTTCAGTAAAATCAGTAAACTGTGGGGAAAACTTAAAAGAAGGCATAAATTTACAAATGATGTTCCCATAATTCCAAAATCAGTAGGCCTATGGTGCTTCCATACCCATGATTGTTATACGTACAGTGTTAATTTAATATCTGTTACACGTAGATTTACACTGTGTAAATGACATAAGTTGTTGATATGCTCTCTATATTAGTGACAGAATTTATTGAAATAAGTTGTAAATAGAATGGAAGGTAAAATGAAATTTCATGAATAATTTAATACATTAAAATCCTTATAACTGCCATACTATTACTTTACATCTAATTCCTTTACCTTCCCATAACTTTTAGTATATTAAGATCATGAACCTTCTTCACTTCTCTTTGCATTAATATTTCCCATTCTACTAACCCAGATGTCCCATACCTGGATGTGATGGATCTGGACATGCAACAGGGAAATTCTTGTCACACAGAAGGTAGGATAACTGTGTAGGATCAGAGCATGTAGTTATTCTAATATATAATGGCATGTAAAATAAATAGCATGAACTGTGATGTCCATTGCGCATGTCAAGAACAAATGTTTGTGGATTCAATGTGATTATTTCTTAGGGTATACAGTATAGTCTGTGAAGTTATTTCTTGGGATATACAGTATAGTCTGTGAAGTAGTATTTAAAATTTTGTCTCTGTAAGTGCATAAATTTGAAACTTTCTTGTTACACTGGCATTATGTCTGAAGATATATAAGGGGAATATTGATAAACCTCAGTGCGTTTTTAACTGTAGCACTACATGAAGGTGAGTGGTGAGTTGTATCCTCTGGCAACTTTAATCCCAAGGAAACATCCTGCAGTGCATGTAGGAGAGCAGGCTGGATGGACCTCAGAATGAGTCTGTATGAAGAAAATATCCTGACCTTGCTTTGAAACTGAACCATGTTTGTCCAGTTGTTAGCCAATCACTTTACTGACTTAGCTATCCAATATCACATAAATGGTTGAAAATTAATAAAAACAATTATAGCCAATTTTAGTCATTGTCATTTGCTTTTCGAGCTTCATAAAAAACATTTATGTTCGTATATACTCTTACTGGAAGCAGGGCAGTGTTTGTCAGTATGTCACTAAATTGTTTCATGGATTACATAGAAAACAAATGAAAAACTGATTTCAGTTCATTATGAATAGAATCAGAAGAAAGTATAAACGTTAGTTTATAAGTTGGTGTTACAGTGTCTTCAGTGAACATTATAGTGTCTACCTTTGGCAGTTGAAATATCAACAGACACTTACGATTATTAAATTCATTCTATCAAGCTGTATTTTCAATCTTTTGAAGTTTATAATGTGACTGTTCAGGGAAATTGTAAATTCGACGTGTTCTTTAAGTGGATCAGTGAAAAAATATTGTGATGCGTTTCCTTATGTCCATCACCACGACAACTGCTATAATCGGAACGGACACTTCCACGACAACGAATACGTCGAAATTGTGGAGTTCCCGCAGCGACAAATAGTAGAAAAGAATTGTCGTTGGGTAACAACGGATGAGACGAAACATGTTACCAGTATAATCTGTAAGGAACGTTCCCGTAACAACGGACTGCCTGAACAGCGGTAACAGAACCGCGAGAAATCATGTCTGGTATCCGGTCCGCATAACCCCTATACCCCCATAACCTCCATAACCCCCTTATAACCCTGTATAAGCAGAGCTTACGGCACATACAGAGTATTGAATATTGAGAATGAGAACGAGACAGTCTTGGGATAGCCATCGCCAGAGACAGTTGAGATCCAACCACGGCCAAGGATAGTTGAGGTGTCGCATTGGAGTATTAGAGTACTGGGCCAGAAGTCAGGTGATACTGCAAGCGATAATAATTGTAAGGTGTGTAAGTGTGAGTGTCCAATAAAGATTTCTCTAAATCCGAGACCCACTTGAAGTTATCTGCCGCGTGACGTACCCAGCATGTGACAATATCTATGGAAACAGTAGCCAGAGATCAGAATTTTCAAATTTCGTTGCTGAAATTCAAGGGCATTTCATTAATTCTTAATTAGTAAGTCATCCAGTCCTTAACTTCTCCTATGTTATTTGTAAAGCATGTGAACACAGAGACATGTGAGCAGATATACGAAATTATGAAAGTCAGTGGAATGTAGAAACTTCTTAGTTATTCCAGGTCAGCTATTTTCTCTACCATAATACTTTTTCCAATTTCACTCATTCACTCATTGAGCTGAGCCCTTCTTGAGAAGCTGCAAATTGTGCAGTTACTCAAGAATATCTCTGTATTTTATGGAACCTGAAGGGTCATTACTACATTCAGAAGAGCCCTCCATTGGTCCCTATCCTGAGCCAGATCAATCCAATCCATACTATCCCATCCTGTCTCTCTAAGATCCATTTTAAAATTGTCCACCCACCTACATCTTTGTCTTCCTAGTGGTCTCTTTCCTTCTGGCTTTCCCACCAATGTCCTACATGCATTCCTCTTCTCCCCATTCATGCTACATGCCCTGCCCACCTCATCTTCCTTGACTTGATCATTCTAATTATACTTGGAGAAGAGTACAAGTTATGAAGCTTCTCATTACGAAATTTTCTCTAGCCTCCCATCACGTCATCTCTCTTCAGTCCAATTATTCCCTTCAATGCCCTGAGTCTATGTTCCTCCTTTAATGTCAGAGACCAAGTTTCACACCCATACAGCATCAAAGCCAAAATTATACTTCTGTGTATTCTAATTTTTATGTTTTTTGACAGCAGACAAGAAGACGAAAGGTTCTGGACTGAGTTGTAGCAAGCATTACTTGAGTTCAATCTCCTCTTAACTTCCTCCTAAACCAGGTTTTGTTTTGTTATAGTTGTTCCAAAATATCTGAACTATGCCACATTTTCAAAACATCTATTAGCAATATTTATTCACAATTTTGTCCTGCATTCTGATGATGAGACAGCAACATATATGAGTACATATACTTATATATATACATATATTTCTCTGTCCTTACTTCTAGACCAGTCTCCTTACTAGCACCAATTGAAGTTTGTATGTTTTCTTTAAGGTACCTATATTCTGTAGATTCACATCATCAGTATAGATTAACAGCTGATGTGCATCATTTAATCTCAGTCCTGGCTTTCCTGGACCTCCCTAATATCATATTCTAAGGCAAAGCTGGAAACCAATGGCGATAAACCATCTTCCTCTTTTAGACCATTCTGGATAGGAAAACCATCAGACAAATATTTACCTATATAGATTTTACTGTACATTTTATTTAAAGACGTTTTAATCGGCCTAACTAGTTTCCTAGGTACCCCAAACCCTATGAGAATATTTTACAGTACTACCCTCCTAACCAAATAATAGGCTTTCTTGAAATCTATGCATAGCTGATGTACTGTCTCACTGTACTCCCATTTTTTCTCCAGTATCTGACAAATGCTGAAATATGATCAGTAGTTGATCTGTTATGTCAAAACCCACACTGATGTAGCCCAATAATTTCATCTATGTATGGACTTAACCTTGAGAGAAATATATTGGATACAATTTTGTATGAAGTTGAATGCAGTGATATCCCACGATAATTACTACAGTCACTTCTATCACCTTCTTGTGGACTGATACAATAATAGACTCCATCCACTGATCAGGCTATTTTTCTTTATTCCAAATAGAATTAATAAGCTTATGGATTTTGGAACATAATATTTCACATCCTGCTTTAATCAGTTATGCCAGGATTTGATCACTACCTGGTGATTTATACCTTTTCAATTTTGCAATTGCAGTTTCAAATTCAAAAGGGCTAGGATCGGGTACTAACAGCTGAGCTGCATGTATTTCTATCTGCCTAACATTACTGACCCTATGTACATTTAATAACTGAGAGAAATAGTTCTTCCACCTGTTCAAAATGTTGTGAGAATATGCAAGCAGATCTACATTCTCATCCTTTACTAAGTTACTTCTAGGTTGGTAATCCATCTTAAAGTCATTTATTCCTCTATACAGGTCTCCAATCTTCTTGTTCTCACTGTTCATTGCAAGCTCATCAATTTTGTGTTTCAGATATTCCCTCTTTTTATTCCTAAAATGCCTGCTGGTTTCATGTCATATTGTTCAGATTATCCACATTAATTTCGCTTGGATCCTGTAACCACCGCAATTTGACTTATTTCGTTTAGTCTAATAATTTTGAGCATCCTTCACCAAACCATGGCTTATGCTCCTTCAATTCATAATAACCTAGACTCTCTTTGGCAGATATTTTCATAATCTCTCTAATAGTTTCCCAAGTTCTATTGATATCCACCTCAGTGTCTAAATTTTCCAAAGCTGCAAACCTATTTGAGATTTCAACATGATACTGCCCTTTACCCTCTACCTCGTTTAATTTCTTGAGATTGAACCTCTCCTTATGAACTCTGTGCATTGTGTGTTTACGCACTGACAACCTGTCTGAAAACTTTGCCTCCACCAGGTGGTTGTCAGGAACACAATCTGCTGCCCTGCATGATCGGACATCAAGTATACTTGAATGTCATCTCCTATCTATCAAAATATGGTCAATTTGTTTGTGTGTCTTTCCATCAGGAGATGTCAAAGTAAATTTATGAATATTACAACGTTGGAACATTGTACACTGACAATAAGATTTTTGGACGTGTCAAAGTTTACTATTCTAACTCCATTATCATTAATAATTTCGTGTAAACTCCCATTCCCAATTGTTGGATTGAAAATGTTTTCCCTGCTTATTTTGGCATTCAAATCTCCTAACAAAATTTTCATATGGTATTTATGGAATTAAATGACCTAGTTCTTTATAGAACCTGCCCTTCATATCATCAATTTGGTCCTCTGTTGGGGCATGAATATTTAGAACGATAATATCACAGCAGCAACCTCTGAGTATTATGTATGGCATCCTATCACTAACAAACTCTACCCTCTAAACTGTTCATATGTATAAAAACCTTTATGAAATTCATAGTTCTCATTCCCTTTCCATAGAAAAATTTATATTCACCTGCTGGTTCGGTGTCACCTCCATCCCATCTGACCTCCTGTACTCCCACTGAATCTAACTTATATTTTGAGATTTCTTCCACCACTGACCTGAGTAAACCTGCACCATACATACTTCTAACATACCAAGAATCAAATCTCATATCCATTTCCTTTCACTTAGGTCGTTTATCCACAGAATCCATCCAGGTCCAAAGTTTCTTGTGATCTTTCATAGCAAGCTTATTTTTTTAGGATGAGGAGTTGTTAGCCCCACGCCTAACCCCTAAGCTGGAGGATCACCCCTTGTTGACCGTCCATAACTGCTTATTCAATATTCACGGCTACCCTCCATAACTGGAGGTCGTCTCCTCCATCTGCAACCTGAGGACGCATCATGCCGTGGTGATAAGGGACCCACCTAACATGGCTTTCTCCATATTACATACATAATAAACAAATTTGGAACTGAATTTTCCATTATGCTTCAGCTAATGTAGACATTAAATTAAATATTAGCTTCCATATATGAAAATAAGGTGGGTGGTGTGTCATGATAGAACACACTGCAGAAATTTAAAGTATGTATATTTTGTTCTCCTTGAGTTAATATAATCATAATCAATTTGTTTACAAAAGAACAGTAGCCTAAAAACAAAAGAAATTAATTTCGTACACAATCCAGAAATGTCGATTATAAGTTACCTCATGCCATAGTGATTATTCCTAAATATATAAATTGTGGATGCTGAAAACCAGACTTCAAAAGCTCATCAAGCTAGAATAATGAGTACTCTTCTTAATGTATCACTGCCAAATCTATTATTATGCATGTTCATATGTTTGCATGTGTATGAGTGCATACATAGCAAGTTTGCTAGGCTTCTTTTTTTTTATTGCCAGTGGGGTGGGACTAAGTCCCTCGTAGTGCGGCAAGTTCTGGCCTATTGTACCAGCCCCAGATAATAGGTGAGGGTGATTGTGGAGCAATTGGTGGAATGAAGATTGGCAGGGGAAACCGAAGTACTCGGAGAAAACCTGCCCCAGCACTACTTTGTCCACCACAAATCCCACTTGACCCGACCCGGGATCGAACCCGGGCCGCCGTGGTAGGAAGCCAGCAACTAACCGCTTGAGCTATGGTGCAGCCTTACTAGGCTTACCTATATATTTCAGGTCTTCATGGTAGCAAACATTTAGAGTATTGTCTCCTTGGTTATGACACTGAGTGGTCTTGTTGGTAGTTATGAACGTTACAATGAATCTCCTGCTCCCATCTTCAAGGTGGAAATGCTCTGAAACTGGAGGCAGTAGTTTTCTTCAAAACACTGGCAACTGCTAACAAAACACAATTTGTTGTAACACACAAAATAATGTTTGAATATATATGTAATTTGTAACTGTCATGCAAGACCAAGTTTATCCACATGTAAGAAATCCTGTATGTTAATGGTTATATAATTTTGCAGAAGATACTACACCCATTTCTCGTAACAAGAACGAATGTCTTGATTTGTCACAGTATAGGGAGACTTAGTACATTTGTTGTGTTTTGTCAGTTAAATATCCCACTACATTTCATAGATTTTCAGAATCTGTAATATAGTAAAGACTTATTAATCCCAACATCCAATAGTTACATATGTGAATACAATGCCTTTTTTTTTCTCTTTTTTTTTCCCCCTTTACTTTCAGCATTTCTAAATAGTGTGTACAGATTTTGGTTCTGATTTTTGCTAAAAGACATGGTTATTTTTCATAAAAACTGAGTTTATAAATTGTATTATTATAACTCAAAAGCCAGCAGACAGCTACATATCAGTTGCTATCATTAGTTTTCCTTACTGAATTCAAATGTTGTTGCAGATTTAAGACAATGAGATAGGTCTGGAGATAGGTGCTAGGTCTATCGATTGAGCCCAGCTGAGTAGGTTATACCTGAAGATGGAGACAGAATCCAGTCTCCGGAACATTGTGTTCTAAATAAAGAATAGGACAATGGTAAATGTCCAGAAACACAATAGCTGTATTGTTATTGAGATTATCGAAGTACATAGCCTCCTTATTTTCAGATTGATTTTCGGACATTATAGTGGTATTTCCTTATTATCTATTGAATGAATATTCATGTACAGTTTGTGTTAAGTTAATTAAGTTCCAGGCTTTTAATTTATGCTAGCAAATTTATGTGATATTACTAACACAGGAAAATTGCCATCTGTGGAGATCTTGAGTCGGCATCATCTCTCACAGCAATGGAAAATATGGGCTTTAGTCCTACATGAATGATAATTTGTAAAAAGGCAAAAGTAAAGCTGTCCCTGTAACAGGCCATGAAGGCCCATAAGGGTGTGAGAGGGCAAGGCTCCCACATCTTCTGGATGTTAGCTCATAGATGGGAGTAAGGTTGTCAGCCCTAGACGCCAGCCGCCCTTTACCCTCCTAGGAAAATTCCTGGTACTCATTTTTGTTGGAGGCTGTGTCGACCCCAGGACCATAGTATGGCTGGAAGGGTTAGGACAGTTGAAGAATCCAGTGACCTCATCAGGATTTGATCCTGCATCCTTCTGGCTTGTAGCTTAGTGCCTCAAACAACTACACTACCACTTGTCCCCATGACAATTTGTTAGTGTATTAATTACATCATTTGCACCATTAAGATATTATGATAACTATATTTCATTCCATGTCATAGTGCATCAGGATGTCCCATAGCTAATCGGAATAAGCTGCGAGTACTGGAGAATGGAGGAACAGTTGAGCAGCATAAAGCAGCTGTAGCAGCAGCCACTGCCATGAAGTTTGAGGGAGTTAACTGTCCAACACCAGGCTGTGATGGCACAGGGCACATCAATGGTTCATTCCTCACGCACCGCTCCCTGTCAGGTTGTCCCATGGCTGGCAGTGGCCAGGCAGGAATTCCAAAGAAGAACAAGTATGCACCTGATGACATGAACAACATGTATGCCAAGGCTCCACCAGGTCAGTTCAGTACTATATGGATAAATGCCAGCTTCAGATGCATCACTCAGTGTAAACTGCCAAAATTAGATAAATTATGCCAACATATTGCATTCAGAGACAGATATATGTTGGTAGTCATATGCTATTTTATATGCGGTAACTATTCTCATATTCCCAAAGTTTTGAAGAACGTGATTTTTCACAGTTATGTGTAATATATATGAATAGCAGTTTCTAACTTCACAACTCCCTGGTTTTATTTTGATCATATTACTGTATTACATATTTTCCGTCTTGTTACCAATAATCAATTAAGAAACTTTAATTTCACTCAAATTTTTGTGTAAGCTTAGCAGCAGGAGGCGCTGTGTTCTAAGATAGGCTATTGCCTAAACTTCAAAAATAAATACTGGAACCTACTGAGAAAGGAAGTATATATCTGCTACATTGCCTTGCTTTGCCACAATAAGTTGGAGTTACAAAGCAAATAAGATATCAATCTTTTTTTTTAGACGTGTTGCAATTAAAATTGGAATTTTTTATCCCATTGACAGTTACTTTATTTCACTTTTTCTAAAATCCTATATGTCATATATTCAAAGAGTTAAAAATAAACATCACAAAATTATCACAAAACTTTTCTCTAGGCATATAGTTGTCTAACAAATAAGGTATTTCATCTTTCTTAAACTAGTGTTACACAGAAAAAAGTAGATCATTTAATTTGAATGGGCAGATGTGCAACAGATGTCAAAGTATGTCAGAAGGTTAAGTAACATAATAAATTTATAGATATTTGAAAATTGTGAAGAACTCTCTGAAACTCTAAGTGCAGAGTTATCTTTATTTTCTTTTCTGTTAACATTCACCTTAATAAATGAAACAGAACACTATACCACACCCAAACCTCTCTCCTCCCTTGGAAGCACCACCCATCCTATCCCTGTTCTGCACATTTTGTGGAGCATCTTCTGGTCATTTATGAAATTGTAGCAGTTTTAAATCAGTGGTATAAATCTAAATACAGAATAACAGGCATTGAAAGCCTAATGTTAGATATTGATAGTAATGTTAAATATCAGATCAATGTTAATTATGAAGAATAGATGTAAATATGCACCAATGAAAACTGAAATGCCACCTTCCAGAGTGCAAACCACACCAAAGATTGCAGTCAATTGTGCAGCCTCTTGTTTTATGTTTAGGAGGACCCTTGGTCAAATCTAGACCTGCAGACCGGTTAGCCTAGTTAACATCTCTTGTTTTCTCCATCATTCCCTCCAGGAAAATCCTAGGACAATACTTTCACTTACACCATGATACTTCCTTCTGCATTCTTTCCAATTAACTATCCATTTATCATCCTATCATTTGATGCTGCATAATTTGAGCTATTGACAGTGTCATTATATACACCATAAATTGCATAAGAAATGTTACAGTTGTTATAAATTTATTTGAGAACCATGATAAGAACCATATTATTCTGTCTGTGCAGGTATGAACCTCCATCTTGATGGTCAAGATTGCAGCTCTTACCTTATGATGAAGTTCTGAGGTTCAGCGAACATAAACATCACTAACCAGGCTCCTGTGTTATAGTTTGCTGTCTGGAAACAGATTTAGCCATAAATCACTCAGATATAAGCTGAAATTATTTCCACTTTCTATCTCATTAATTGGATTAAATTGATGGTTCCAGTGAAGGGCAAGACAGGAGGCCGCGCCATAGCTCAAGCGGTTAGTCACTGGCTTCCCATCGCGGCGGCCCAGGTTCGATCCCAGGTCTGGTCAAGTGGGATTTGTGGTGGACAAAGTGGCCCTCGGGCAGGTTTCCTCTGAGTACTTTGGTTTCCCCTGCCAATCTTCATTCCACCAAATTCTTCATCATCATAATCACCTGGGGCAGCTACAATAGGGCAATCAGTGGCCGCCATGCCGAGTGGACCCAGTTGGACTCCACCCCCACTAAGCCAATTAAAAAGAAAAGAAAGAAAGGGCAAGACAAGGCACTTGTCTACCATTTAATACACATCAAATTTTGTTTTTATTCAAATGAATATGGGAAATATAAGACTGGTTTGGATATTGCCATTTCTTACCATACCCTAGGTAGTTTGCAAGATGGAATATATTATAAATGATATGAACTCCGTCCCAAGTGTAAACAATATATTATATGTCCTTGATCTTGCTCTCCTATACACTACATGTTTTGGCCTCAAATGGCCATCATCAGGTGTATACACTCACGTTGCTGTTACAGCAAGAGAGCAAGATCAAGGACATATAATATATTGTTTGCACTTGGGACGGAGCTCATATCATTTATCATATAGAGTGCAACAGGATGCTTAAATATAATAATGGAATATATTGGTCATCATGAAGAAAGAGAATACATTTCCGAATTAACTCATAGCCAGTAAAGTCACTATGCTCGCTGTGGCTTTAGAGTAAATACTGAAAATAATTTTCACTAGTACATTCACATATTCCATGATAATGTAACAGATTCATTTATAGTTGTTGGAGTTTATTTTTTCTTTGTTGTTATGCTAAAATATTAATCAGTGCTGTTTAAAAATAATCTGAAATATAGATATAGTAAGAAATACTTAATCAAATTCTTATTTGTAAAACACATATCATGTGCATAGACCATATTTTAAGCTGTTGGCTTAAAAATGTAAAATGCAACAAAATAAAAAATATGATCATTATCAAGAAGTATATTGGAACTGTATGGCCATAGATTCCATTTTTCACATATTATTAGCAATAATAACGAAAATTTATATTTTGCCAGTATTATAAAAAGTGTAAACAGCTTTCAGAATTTATTCAGAGAGGTTTCATTTAAGAATTTAATTATAAGTATTCTCCATGTCCTTAGAGCATTGTGAGATTTACAATATATGCCTCTCATTTCCATCTTAGAAAATCTTCATGTTGTAGACCATGGTATCAAAGGAACTGGTTTGTGATATTTACAATAGAGATCCATCAGTGTACATCATAAGGCAATAGATGCAATCTCAAAGCCATAACACCTATGTAATTGGAAGTTGAAAAATAATTTACATTCAAAAAGTTGCAATAAAAATCTAGTTATGCAAGGAAAGCAGATGCCAATCATTGACATCTGATGATAAGTAAATGAGATCAAAATTCTTTTACAAACTTCTGTTATTACAGATGTTTCTGTTTATGAAATAATAGGATGGTAGCACTATCTGTAAATGGATGATATCAAATGTAAATTATGTTTAGAACCAATCCCAAGAAGAGTAAGATATTTTACATGCAAGTTTCTTTCCATTAATAGTCTCAATGTGTAGTTACTTATAGTTCTTCAGAAAAGATATATCTTCTTGAGCCAGATTCTGTTTCCTTTCAAGAGTCTTAGGTGAATTATGGTGGTAATGTAAACATTAAAATAGTGATATAGTTTTACATGATGTGAAGTTTTTACAGTTTGAATCTGTGAACAATAATTCCACAAAAAACAGCCACATGTGTTACCATATCTTATTCCTGTATTCTCATGCTAACAGACAAGTTAATTTAATTACCCTTCAAGTTACTGCAGTTTACTATGTTGAATGTCATAGTCTCTAAAGAATTTACAATATTTGGCTAAGGATAGTGTGATAGACACGTCAAATGTTGAAATATCTAGTAATTTGAAAGTCTGCATTCATAACATAATCCTCTCTCAGTTTCAGATATTATATTTTCTTATCTAAAAATCAATATGTAACTACCAAACATAATTCAAGAAATGATACTAATTAAGAATAGTTATTCTTTTGTGAATGTTTCATTAGATATTAATTGAGTGATGCAATTGAGTCTGCCAAGTTTTATGAAATTTGCTCTTTCAGTTGAGGATCTTCCTGAGAAAGGGATCTAAATCTTCAGGAAATTTTACCCTCTCATAGTCCATGTTTCTGATCAAGAATGTTTCCTTTTTGGAATAGACATTTTATAGTATTTTTATATGAATCAAATTTCTTCCTTACCTTTTTCTGAAACATAAAATTTAATAGTTGGTTAACATAAATAATTGATTAACATTGTGAGAATTTCTCATTTGTGAATCTTTGGCCATGGACTCATAAATTCAGAAATGTTTCTTACCTGTTCACATTACAGTATTAGGTTTATCATGTTTTTTAAGAGGGGATAATACACAGCAGAATACTTTCTCACTGAAGTTTTTATGGGCACACTGGATATCTAGAAGGTTGCTTTTCTCTGGTCCTTTTTTTTAACTAAATAATTTTCAGAGATTTATTTACCCTTTTTTTATAGTTACAATTTCAATTCAGAATTCTGTGTGTGACAAAAGTAATGTGTTTAATTGATGTTGAAACTTATGAATGACAGTGAAGATTGATATAGATGCAAATATGAGAAAATTGGTGCAGAGATAATCTATGTACACTGCAATAATATATTTGGGACACTAGAGAGCTTACCTTTATTTTTTTAAGATATCACCTTCTTAGTATTATTTAGGGAGATTGTCTCCACGAATTACTGAAATTTCATCAAATTATTATGGCATTTTCTAGAAATTCACACTTTTGTTTTTTGGAATCTATTTGAGGGGCACCTATTTTTGGAGCTAGAATGTTCATTTTCACGAGGCACGAGTTATGATTAATAAACTCTTAAATAATGAATATGAATAAAATCCATCCAACTCCTCTGGTGCTAGAGAGGCACATGTACATATGCACATACAGACAGACAGATAGATATGCAACATATGGAAAACCATTTTTTTGTATTAATGGGTACTAAAAAAATGTAAACCCATCAGAATCTTGAGATTATTTTTTTCATGATCACCATACTCTTTCGTACTGCATCTATGAGAAAGTTAATAAAAGATAACCCTTTTTCTCTTATCTCATATAAAATTGTCATATGATTATAAATTTGCACTGTCAGTGTAGTTCTGCAGTGGGTGAGAAGCATATGTGTGGAATACTGGGGGCTATCCAGTC